CTGGCTCTTGGCTTTCAACTGGCTCCTTGGCCCTTCGACAGACAAGCCTCGTCACGAGGGACGCTCTCCATCAACCATCAACCATGACATAATAGGACCCTGCTTTTTGGCACATGAAACGGTCTATTTCTTGGAAGTACTTCCGGGGCCATCTGACGTTTCGAAGCGGGAATCCCAGCGCAATCGGTCAGACGTCCCATGCATGGTGATGTCTGCATGGTGAGGTTGGCTGGGCGTCCAGGCATTCATCAGCCCGAAGCAGGTCACGGACATGAAGATGATCAAAGGCAGGACCATCCAGGGATTGTACTCAGTTCGCATGGTCCGTGGCGATCGTGCAAAAGCATGTCCCCCCAAAGCCAGGCGACCCGTGGAAGGTGGGCCGTTTTGGCAGGGACCCGTGGAAGGTGGAGACGAACTGTCCATTCCAAGAATCCTACAAGGCTCCGATCGAATATCCCAACAGAGGTGGGTCAGAACCCGTCAGAGCCCTATGGAGCGGTCACTGGATACCTCTCTTGGATCTCTACACGCAGACTGACTCACATCGAAGTGGATGGCAAAAGGCCTCGAGTTCGGAAGACTTGACGATGGAGAAGTCCACACTCCACTTCCACTTCTGAGGTGTTGATGATGAATGTAGACTCTTGATTAAGAAACCGCCCCTCGGTTTGAATTGGAAATCCTCTTCCAAATGGAGGGTTTATGAATCAAGAGTCTACATGAATGGGTGAAGCTGGAGCTGGTGGACTGGCGCCCCCTTGGACGCTTCGAACCTGAACGCCCTTGGAGACGGGGCCGCACCAGACCGACCGGTGGTCATCCGGACTGGTCTTTCGACTCCCCATATGTGGTCACCGACTGGCGGTGATCCCCAGGTTCCACACCCACCAGTGGCGCCGTTGTGGTCCGCGCTGGATGAACCCGTCCAAGTGGCCAGCATCTGCGGCCAAATGATGGCGGCCCTCAGCAAGACCAAGAAACGAAGAAGAACGGGGCCGATGGCGGATTTCGCCGACTTATTGTACCCTGTGACCATTTTCCGAAGACCAACCCAGTGGATTTAGCCGACTGGTTTTGGGGGGGTCCATGTATGTGGGTCTCTGCAGGAGAGTACACCCCCTAAAGAGAATCATGGTGGTTACGTGGCTTCGGCCCACGACTTCGCATAAACCCTGACAGACACTTCGCTGACTCTACCAACAGCTGCTTGGTCCACTTCGATGACTTCAGGCAGGTTGGTCCCTCCGCTGGAGGGAGCCGCGGGCGTTGGGCGTGGCAAGTCCGATCCAGCGATCCACTGGACCGATCCACGATCCATGTGCAAGTGATACCAAAACACGACCTGTCTGGGACTGGTACTATATATGTCCCTTCCTTCAAGCAATCATTTTGGCAGCATGCTTCTCTAAAG